TATATATATATATATATAATACAAGCAACAGAATTCTTTTCTTTCCAAGCTAAACTGCCTCATATTTCCAGAGGTTTACATTTTATATTCTTTCTCGCAAATGATATACTTAAAAGTTACGTTACGTAATCATATATACAAAAATAGACAAACAAATAAATGAAGTTAACATTACATAAGTATTATAATTATAAGTATATACTCCGCCTCCTGGATTGGATTGAAATTTTTTCTTAGAAAGGGATATGACGGGTGTTGCTTTTCTCCGCCATTAGTTAGTAAATTCGTTTTCTTTTCACATGTGCCGAAAAAAAAAGTTTTATAAGTAATATGTAATATTAAACAATTGAAAGTTTATTAATTTATGTATAAATTTAAAATAAAAAATTTAATTATATAATAATGCATTATTATTATTGTTTATAATATATGTATAATATTTTCATTTCTCTGTCCATTTTTCTATATTAATTTCCATTCCATAATTAAAGACATTTCTAAACCCCTTTTCTTTGGACTTTGTTTTCCTTTGAAGCAAACATTACTACAAACGGGGTACAAATTTAAAGTAATGAAAAAAGTTTTGATGACTGATTCATCCATTCCTTTTCCTAACAATTTGACATATTGGTCATGGTCCAAGAAAGAGGAAGCGGTCCATGGGACCAGTTGAAGCTTGGAATTTACTGCACAGCTTCTTGTGTATTTCATATTAAAAAAATAATTTATATAAAGTTGGTTTAATACACATTTTGACACTCATCTCAATTTAGTAAATTCTACAATTATATCTTTAAGTTTGTTTATTTTTAATTTCAAATTAAAAAATTATAATTTTTTAGTAAATGTGTTAGATAGTATGTACCAATCATGGAATGCCAACAAAAAAGTCAAAACTTTCTCATTTCCTCTCATGTTCAATCATTCAATGCTTATTTCACTAAAAAGGTTTTTTTTCGTTTAAGCAACAACCAAAAACTAAGTCAAATATATGAATTGTTGAACAATCAAGAGATAATAACAATTAAAATGTTAGTGATGATAATGAAAAGACTTGAATATTTAATTTATTAGTAAGTTTATATAATCGTTGTATATTAGGGAGAAATATGATATTTTAAACAATAAATATTGTATTTTGTGTTTTACCCTATATTGTTTCTATAAGAGTATATAATTGGTTTGAGGAAAACATATGGGAGAGGAGAGAAGAGAGAGATTTTTTTTACTAATTTGATTATAATATTTAAAAATATTATAATTTAATTGACTAAAAAATTCATCTCTCTTCTTCTTCATTTTTCTCAAATCAAAAATATTAATTATAAGTGTGCAAGCCTAAAATAGGACAACAAAAAAAAATAGAGGATTAAGTTTGTAAAATGGCCTTTTAATTTTTTAAATGTTGTTTTCAATTTCAAAAGGACTACCACTACTAAAAGTTGGAACTCAAATTTAATTTTTTTGATAATGATAACTGTGTATGAATGGCACGAATGAACACGCAAAGTTCCCACATTATTCCACTTCCTATCAAGATTCACGCCAACTCATTTTCAATTTTCACTTTGGATGATGTTCGAATGATCTCATTTATTTCCTGCTCTCTTTTCTTTGTGAAAGTTATACATCCACTTATAAAGTGATAGCTATGTGCACTTGATTTAGAGCAAACAGGAAACGATGGGTCTTTGTCCTTGGTACATTGACAGATAGGGGCTTAATTCAGAGTCCAAGTCTTTCGTTTTTGGACGCACATTTATTTCACAACAAAAAAAGGACGAGTTGAATTGACAAAAAAGGAGAGAATATGCTTGGCCGGTTGGCCTTAGGCTAGAAGATAAGACAATGCCTAGTTGAATTTTTGGTTAGTATAAGCCTAGATCGATCTTGGTTGCTGGTCCAGATTTTGTTCACCAGTCTGTATTTGCATATGGGAAAAGTGAATATTCGCTATAGCCCCATAAAATTTTGACTTTTTCGGCTTTCTCTCGCGCTGCAATTTCAGTTAAGAATCCATTGATTTTGGGCCAAAGATATGGATTCTTCCCTTTATGACTTTGGAATTTTTCTTCTTCTTCTTCTTCTTCTTCTTTTTTGATAGGTACAATATGGGGGAGGGGGATGGGGAATTTTTAGACTCAGGAATTTGATGTCAAAGTGGAAACTGACTTCATTTATTATATCATCTTATTGTATCCAAAAATGTATAAAAAAAAAGTATTGAAGAAATTACAGTAAATAATATTAATAAAATAATACTTATAATTCAAATCACATAAGTCAAATTATTAAATAGAAGTAGATTGCTTAATATTTTTTAATATAATACAATCTAGATTTTAGAATCAAAAACTCAAAATATTAATCTCTTTATAATAAAAAAAATTAACATTGTGCAACACCAATTAAATCATGATTTCATATATTTTAGAGAGAAAAGAGTGATATGTTTTGAATTATATATGATTGTTAATTTTCTTCAAACAAATGATAAAATATTTAAAAAAATCTTTATAACTTAAGTAACCACCCATATATTGTAAAGAATAATTTCATCATAATAGAAAGGTGAAATTTAAATCCCATTCTTGTATTAAAAAATATGAGAAAATGTTTGTGATATTGACTGACATGCTGCTCTTGTCAAATGCCATTAAATTGATAAAACAGTTTCCAAACGCACATATGTGGATAAGGAGCTCATAGTGGTGCAGTTGAGCAAGAGTTTGGTCGAAAGTATTGAAAACATTTTTTTTGGGTTGAGTTGACATGATGAACAAGTGTAGAATTTTCCACCATATAAAGTGGAAGTTTGGTTTTTCATGATATATCCTGTATCCTGTATGTAGTTGTAAAAGTGATTCAAGTAAAGAATAATAGTAGATGACCTAATTAACATAGTAATGAGTTCTCAAGGTGGGAAGTAGAAAGGGAAAA